CCTCCATCATCACCACTGCCTACCACCATCCCCACTACCGTCATCACCACCACCAATACCATCATCACCTCCACCTACCACCTCCGTCACCCCAACCATCATTACCACCATCCCCTCCATCATCACCACTGCCTACCACCATCCCCACTACCGTCATCACCACCACCAGCACCAACAGCATCTATCACTATCACCGTCATCACCAATACCATCACCTCCACCTACCACCTCCATCACCCCAACCATCATTACCACCACCATCAATCACGTCCATCATCACCACTACCTACCACCATCCCCACTACCGTCATCACCACCACCAGCACCAACAGCATCTATCACTATCACCGTCATCACCAATACCATCACCTCCACCTACCACCTCCATCACCCCAACCATCATTACCACCACCATCAATCACGTCCATCATCACCACTACCTACCACCATCCCCACTACCGTCATCACTACCACCATCCCACAACCACCATTCCTACAATATGCTTTTTGAGCCAGAGAGCCAGAGAGGGAAACAGGGTAAAGAAACAAGCTGTTTCAGAGTGTTCAGATAGTCCAGGAGGCAAGACCAAACCTCTCCTTCTCTCAAATGGGAGGCTCTCTTTAGAGCAGAATAAGACTTCCTAGGTAGGGAGCACGAAACATAGATTCATGGGGCATGGAATGCTGGGCCCCTGTACCCCTGACATCCCCTAAGCCTCCTCTCCCTGCCAGCGAGAGAGATACAGCATGTATTATTGGCAAAGGGGCGGGGTGAGGGCTAGCACTCGTTGAGGCCCTACAATGTGCCAGGCACCACGTTCGCTTCCTTATCTTCAATTGCTTTGATGCTGACGGTGCCCTGGTGATAGGTAATAGTTACTGCATCTCATAGAGGAGGAAACTGCAACTCAGAGAGAGGAAATGATTTGCCTAAGATCACTTGGTCAGTGAGCGTCCATGTTGAGATGCAATTGCCCACCCGCACTCTGTCCCCCATTCCCAGAGGGAATGACTGTGCTGGAGAGGGAGTCTGGAGAGACAAGACAGGGCTGGGAAGGAGATGTTGATCCCGGGATGAGAGAAGGACTCCATGGCATTTTCAAACGCTCCGTTGGAAGAGCAGAAGGTCTGGGTCCCCAGGCTGGGTGCTCGCACTGTCCTCCAGCCCCGGGAGAGTCATACTTTACTGCCTTTGACCAGCTCTAACCACCGTGCAAGCGAGCACCTTGCCTGGCTTTCTTGCGGGCTCCTATGATGCAGCATTGGGCGGGCACGGGGTGAGTAATGGTTGTGGAGGAAATACATGAACGAACTCGTGAAAGCATGAATCAATCAGGACCTCAAAACCTGGGTGGAACGCTGCGCTGACGGCTGAAACGGGGAAACAGCAGTCAACGTAACTTTCCCTGCTTTTTATTAGTATTCTTTTTGGTGCCTTTCTGACTTTATAGAAATGGTTGTTCTCAGACTGCAGAGCACAAACTGACTGATTGATGCCCCAGAACTAATACTCTGAGACAGACCCGAGGCGAGAAGGACAATTATTTAACACAGCACCCAGGGGCACGGGGTATGGGAACATCATTCTTGTGCATGGTAGAGCAGATGAAATAAAGAGTTTATGCCAAAAATATGTTGGGTTCCTCATAGTGGCTTTCTTCCCCAACCCCCTCCGCCAGCCCCTGTCTCCCTTACCAGTTCCTGTCCATGTGTGGTGGGTCTGGGACGCCCAGGAACAGAGAGCTGGCTCGTGCTTCCCAAGCCCAGCTCCAGGGACCAGGTCCTTAAGCCAGGTCTGGTTAGAACTGCCCACCGTTTGAGTAGGAGGGGCCAGTCGTTCCCCTCTCCCTGCTGTTATCCTGGGAGCTAAGGGCAGCAGGGCCAATCACTGGTCTCATCTGGGTCCCTGTGGGTGATGAGATGGGCATTGATGGGTGAGTTGGCAGCCAGGCCAGAGTGGCATGGCCAGCTGCCCTGGGCACTGTCGTCCCTGCTTGTCACCACTCCCGGCTGCCCGAGCAGCAAAGCAAAGCCACAGTGACAAGATCCAGAGGGGAGAGGCTCCAGCCGGGGGTGGTGCTGGTCTCTCAGGCCACTGGAGCAGCAATGTGACAGCTTTTCATGGTGTGGGGGCACCGGCCCCCTCCGCCTCGACCCTTGTCACTCTCCATTTCTTTGACTTGCCTTTGTCTCTGCCTTGCTTCCATTCTAGGCTGCTATCAGCTCTGAATGGTCCATGGTCCCCACCCCTCTGTACCTCCTCTCCTTCCTCACTCCCTGACCTCAGGGCTTATTCCCTCCACACACCCCATGTCAGGCAGGAAACCAGGGTCCCCTTCCAGTATGTGCATTCAGACTTGTGCTAGTGGTGCAGGGTGCAGGTGGTAGTGTAGCAGTAAAACATGAGGCTCTGCAAACTCAATCCACACGGCAAGGTTCCTGATTTGCTTCTGGTGACCTCCCTAAGTGTGCCAGACATGTGGGTGTCCATGAGCTGGGGCTCTTGAAGCTGGGGGTGGGTTGCAGCATCAAAAGCCAGGTGTGCTCTCTCTCTCTCTCTCTCTCTTTCTCTCTCTCTTTCTCTCTGTCCATCTTGCTCACTCACAAAAGAAAGAAGAAAATAAGAACAGGGGACCAGCAGTTGGCATAATTGCTATGTCACTGGACTTCCACATAGTCGACCGCTGTTCAAGTCCCAGACCTGGTGGCTTAAGCTCATGCGGGGTGCGTGTACGTGCGTGCCCAAGATTCCAAGAGGAGAATAGAGTAGAGGAGAAGGGATTGTGGTATGGCCATCACCTTGGGGGGTGATTTCTCCCTTTCTGTTTCTGTTTCTGTCTGTCTTTCTGGCGAGCACATAAGCCCTATAGCAAAAACCCCCTCAAAAAAAAAAAAAAAAGAACTAAAAAAAATTTTTTGAGCGGTTTTGGCAAAAGGTACTTGCATTCGCCAGAGAGACAGACAGACAGAGACAGTGAGAGAGGAAGTGAGAAATCACCCCCAGGGAGATGACCACGTCACAGTCGCTTCTCCATTCTCTTCCTGGGATCTTGGGCATGCACGCACACAAGCCCAGTGTGATTTTCAAGCCACCGGGTCCAAGACTCAAACTG